GGTCTCTGTCCTGAAGTCCTCTCACGTTAGTCCTGGTCTCAGGTCTCTGTCCTGAAGTCCTCTCACATTAGTCCTGGTCTCAGGTCTCTGTCCTGAAGTCCTCTCACATTAGTCCTGGTCTCAGGTCTCTGTCCTGAAGTCCTCTCACATTAGTCCTGGTCTCAGGTCTCTGTCCTGAAGTCCTCTCACATTAGTCCTGGTCTCAGGTCTCTGTCCTGAAGTCCTCTCACATTAGTCCTGGTCTCAGGTCTCTGTCCTGAAGTCCTCTCACATTAGTCCTGGTCTCAGGTCTCTGTCCTGAAGTCCTCTCACATTAGTCCTGGTCTCAGGTCTCTGTCCTGAAGTCCTCTCACATTAGTCCTGGTCTCAGGTCTCTGTCCTGAAGTCCTCTCACATTAGTCCTGGTCTCAGGTCTCTGTCCTGAAGTCCTCTCACATTAGTCCTGGTCTCAGGTCTCTGTCCTGAAGTCCTCTCACATTAGTCCTGGTCTCAGGTCTCTGTCCTGAAGTCCTCTCACATTAGTCCTGGTCTCAGGTCTCTGTCCTGAAGTCCTCTCACATTAGTCCTGGTCTCAGGTCTCTGTCCTGAAGTCCTCTCACATTAGTCCTGGTCTCAGGTCTCTGTCCTGAAGTCCTCTCACATTAGTCCTGGTCTCAGGTCTCTGTCCTGAAGTCCTCTCACATTAGTCCTGGTCTCAGGTCTCTGTCCTGAAGTCCTCTCACATTAGTCCTGGTCTCAGGTCTCTGTCCTGAAGTCCTCTCACATTAGTCCTGGTCTCAGGTCTCTGTCCTGAAGTCCTCTCACATTAGTCCTGGTCTCAGGTCTCTGTCCTGAAGTCCTCTCACATTAGTCCTGGTCTCAGGTCTCTGTCCTGAAGTCCTCTCACATTAGTCCTGGTCGCAGGTCTCTGTCCTGAAGTCCTCTCACATTAGTCCTGGTCTCAGGTCTCTGTCCTGAAGTCCTCTCACATTAGTCCTGGTCTCAGGTCTCTGTCCTGAAGTCCTCTCACATTAGTCTTGGTCTCAGGTCTCTGTCCTGAAGTCCTCTCACATTAGTCCTGGTCTCAGGTCTCTGTCCTGAAGTCCTCTCACATTAGTCCTGGTCTCAGGTCTCTGTCCTGAAGTCCTCTCACATTAGTCCTGGTCTCAGGTCTCTGTCCTGAAGTCCTCTCACATTAGTCCTGGTCTCAGGTCTCTGTCCTGAAGTCCTCTCACATTAGTCCTGGTCTCAGGTCTCTGTCCTGAAGTCCTCTCACATTAGTCCTGGTCTCAGGTCTCTGTCCTGAAGTCCTCTCACATTAGTCCTGGTCTCAGGTCTCTGTCCTGAAGTCCTCTCACATTAGTCCTGGTCTCAGGTCTCTGTCCTGAAGTCCTCTCACATTAGTCTTGGTCTCAGGTCTCTGTCCTGAAGTCCTCTCACATTAGTCCTGGTCTCAGGTCTCTGTCCTGAAGTCCTCTCACATTAGTCCTGGTCTCAGGTCTCTGTCCTGAAGTCCTCTCACATTAGTCCTGGTCTCAGGTCTCTGTCCTGAAGTCCTCTCACATTAGTCCTGGTCTCAGGTCTCTGTCCTGAAGTCCTCTCACATTAGTCCTGGTCTCAGGTCTCTGTCCTGAAGTCCTCTCACATTAGTCCTGGTCTCAGGTCTCTGTCCTGAAGTCCTCTCACATTAGTCCTGGTCTCAGGTCTCTGTCCTGAAGTCCTCTCACATTAGTCTTGGTCTCAGGTCTCTGTCCTGAAGTCCTCTCACATTAGTCCTGGTCTCAGGTCTCTGTCCTGAAGTCCTCTCACATTAGTCCTGGTCTCAGGTCTCTGTCCTGAAGTCCTCTCACATTAGTCCTGGTCTCAGGTCTCTGTCCTGAAGTCCTCTCACATTAGTCCTGGTCTCAGGTCTCTGTCCTGAAGTCCTCTCACATTAGTCCTGGTCTCAGGTCTCTGTCCTGAAGTCCTCTCACATTAGTCCTGGTCTCAGGTCTCTGTCCTGAAGTCCTCTCACATTAGTCCTGGTCTCAGGCAGTACCATCTTTACGTAACTGTGTTTTTCACAGAAGTGTGTGGATCGTACTGAGTCTTACTTGGGATGCACCACAAACAAAACAGCGAGGGAAAAGCTACTGTACTGTGTCTGTGTGTGTATGTGTGTGTGTGTGTGTGTGTGTGTGTGTGTGTGTGTGTGTGTGTGTCAGTGTGTGTCTGTGTGTGTGTGTGTGTGTGTGTGTCTCTGACTCACAATAGTCCATTGAGTGCCTTCAGTGGTTGTAATGTTTTGGCTGAAGCTGAGAGTCACATGTGGCGACAATACAGACGACAGCTGCGCCTTCTGAAGGACTCTATCGCTGACCTTTGACCTTAGACTCTATCTCTGACCTTTGACTATTTTTATCCAAGTTTAGAATCACATCTTCAGCCAGTTTAAGAAACAGGAACTTCAGTTTCAGTTTAGTTTTTTTGCCATTTGCAGTAAAAAAAAACACATTGGAATACATTAGCAAAAGTCTCCAGTGTGCACAGACAAATACAGACATAAAACAACATTAAAAGACAAAAATAAAACAAATAAAACAGTAAACAAATGTCACTGTGAAATCGATCGACTAAAACAGTTCAAAACAAGTGCAAATCATTAAAGTGCTCTGTTCACACTGATAACAGCTTGGTAAATGTCGCAGACAAGTTATACAACAAAACAGATACAGAGGGACTCTGAGGAGCACAGGGACTGGCCTCCTGCTGGGACTCTGAGGAGCACAGGGACTGGACTCCTGCTGGGAATCTGAGGAGCACAGGGACTGGACTCCTGCTGGGAATCTGAGGAGCACAGGGACTGGACTCCAGGGTGAGAGACTACAAGCGGTCCAGGGTGGGGGACTACAGCGGGTCCAGGGTGGGGGAACTACAGCGGTCCAGGTGATAGACTACATGCGGTCCCAGGTTTGGGAATCTACAGCAGGTCCAGGTGAAGGACTACAAGCGGGTCCAGGGAGGAGAGACTACAGGCGGGTTTCCAGGTGGGGGAACTAACAGCGGGTCCAGGGTGAGAGACTACAAAGCGGGGTCCCCAGAGAGACCTACACAGCGGGGTCCCAGGGTGAGAGACTTACAGCATCCCAGGTTGAGAAGACACAGAAAGCGGGTCAGGGTGATAGACTACAGCGGGTCCAGGTGAAGACTAACCAAGCGGGTCCAGGTGAGGAACTAACCAAAGCGGCCAGGTTTGGAGACTACAGCGGGTCCAGGGTGGGAAGACTAAGCGGGGCCAGGGTGAGAAGACCAACAGCGGGTCCCAGGTGGGAGACTACACCAGCGGGTCAGGGTTGAAGAGAACTACAAGAGCGGGTTCCACCCCACTAACCCCAACGCTCTTCGCTGACACACAGGTGAAGAAGTACTAACGCCCGGCCCCTGTCCTAGGCCGCCCACTCGCATACACCGCCACACGGAGAGGACGCTGTAGGCACGGCTTTGACACACACCAAGGTTTGCACCACCGCACGAACTACAGCTGTACTACCCGCTCTATAGCACTGCTTTCCTCCTTTCATCCTCCCACTGTGTCATGCACACACGTTCCAAGTCATACTCGCATACACTCACCCACACAAATATGGAAACCGATGGCGGAAACTCGCCACGACCGAGCGAGCACAACAGTGTCGTGGAGGAACACGACGTAGTGGATAACTTTCTGCGCGACTTCACAGAGAAGTTATCCCCAGGATCCTACGACATGCTTGAGCACGGCTCACCCTCTGACTTACTAGATGCCACCTCCACATTGGCATCCGAGGCTATTACGAAGAAACTTGAAGGTACGACCCTGACCCAGTGGCTGGGACAGCTAGCCACGGTCTCCAGAATAACCTTACGCGACTCCGAAGCCCAGAACCAAAGGCTTCAAGACACGGTAGGTGAACTGGAACGGCAACTAGCGGAAGCTAAGAGGTCCGCCGCGAGCCGCTTGGAACCAATCAGGTAAGTAGGAACCACCAACCGGGACTGAACACGATCCCAAACGCGACCATGGATCTAGATCGCGCAGCGAGAATCGGGGCCGCTACTTCAAACGAAGCCGGCCGATACAGTGCCTCCGACCCACACTCCCCTCACTCCGACCGCGGCGGACCATCGTCCGAGAGTGAACGCAGGAGCGTGGCCGAACTGGTAAGTATCATCACAGGAAAGGACCAGAATCAAGGTCAAAGGCACGATATACAACCCAACCGCAACAATCGGAACAGGCCCAGCGGTCCGTCGACGACGGACTCGACCACGTTGCGCGCGACCCCAACCATACAACGGGACCGCCCGCAACTACAGCCAACCCTCAACACTACATTAGACACATCGACCACTTTGACCCCAGACTCGACCCACCGACGAGCCAGGCAACGTACCACGTGACAGACCGCTCACGGGTCCCCGGGGACCCCTCCGCCTATGAGAGACAACCCCCGGCCGGACCCGCCGCAGCACACCGGCACGTTAAACACGAAACGCATGGCCACCAGACCCATACACACGGACTGACCATGGACCGCGGCGAACAACGGCCAACAGCCCGCCATTGGGACGGTGGAGACCACCTCAACCAGGGACGGGACTCCCACGTCGCCCCCCCGGGAACACACATGGACATGCGACGCAGCCAACATGACTACCCGACCCATGACTCTGGCCCACCTGACGTCCATACGAGACATGTTTCAGACTACCGCCATTGGGACGAAAGGGCCCGCCCTGAACATGACGGACAACCCTACAACGACCCCCCTGGCCCACATCAGTACATGCTACATGGACCACACGACATACGGTACCCTGAGCCTGGGCCGCCCGCATATGCTGCGGCACAACGACCAGTGACCCGCCATGGGAACGCCGGGGACCTCCCCAATCATGGAGGACAACCCCACAGCAACCCCCCGGACGCACGCCAGGACTTGACCCCGGGACAACGGTACTACCCGGACTATAGAGGACGCGACGCCCGTTACGCGCCCCCGATGGGTCGAGACCTGCTCGGACCATCCGACCGCGACTTCGACCGCATAGCTAGACACATAACCCGCTTTGACCCCCGGCCCGGCATGCCTACAAACACCCGATCATACCTCCGCGTCGTCGACTTCCACGCCGACCGCATACCACACGCGTCTCAAGATGACAAAATATACTTGATTAGACTCACGTCCAACGGAGAGGTGAATGACTTCATCGAAAGGCAACCAAGGGCTATAAAACATGACTACAACGAGCTCTGCAAAGCCATCCTAGCAGAATACTCAGACTACGGCGCCTCCGGGACCCTCACGGCAGCCATGGCAGTCAAACAAGCTCACAACGAGCTTGCGGAATGCTACTACCACAGGTTGCGACAGGCCTTCTTCGGCAACCGAAACTACGAAGGGATGGAGGAAGACACGAATTTCAGGGCCCTGTACCTCCAAAACCTCCACCCCAACCTTAGCCAGCTACTGGGCGTGTACGCCTGCCCCCTTACACAGGACATACGGCAACTGAAGACCCTGGTGGCACGAGCACAAGGCAAACATCTGCTCAAGACACAGGCGAAGCCGCAAACCCAACCTACAGTGTACAGTGTGGAAAACCACATGGAACTTGAGGGCGCACCAACGGCCCGAAAACACAAATGGGGAACCAACCACGGACCCCAAAGGAATAACCAGACACACGTGGACCCGAAGAACAAATCCCAGACCAACAGGACAGACCGCGCGCCACAACGGCCCCACCAAGACCGCACCGCTACAACCATTAATAAAGACAACCTTTCTAGGGAGGAACAATCCCTCCTCCGCACGCTCCTGCGCAAAGCCAGAGAGAAGAAGACAGACAACGCCGACGTGTTCGCAGTGTCCGTGTCGGATGACGCCGAGAATGCTCCCCACCACATGGACGACTGCCTCAGCGAACAGGAGCTAAATGATGACTACTCAAGCGCACAAACGGTGGACATCTGCTACGACCAGAGGGATGTCATGGTAATACAGGTAAACTCCATCACGGACCCACGAGAGGACGGCCCCTCGACAACCAACCGCGAACCACCGTTCCGCCAATTCATTGGCGATCTACAACAAAGAGGTACCTACGGGAAACTCTACCTGCCCGTAACACTCGAAGACCATTGGGAACACGAGGCGCTCGTGGACACAGCTGCCGATATCAGCCTGATTGGCGAAAACCTCTTCGGTAAGTTACAGTCTATGGCCAGTAAATCCCACAGACACCTAAAAACGCAGCCATGCGACTTAGAAATACACCCCTATTCCCAGGTGGATACGACCATACGTAAAATGGCCCTAATGCGACTGACCGTGGGCCCCATGACACTGGTCCACCCGGTCTACATCTCCCCATTCAACACGCATCCGCTCCTATTGGGCCAGGACCTTCTAAATCGATTTAAGCCCCTAATAGACTACCAACATCTAAAGATCTGGACACAGGTCCGGGAGCCCTTGCCCATTCCGCGCCCGTTGGGCGAAAACCACCGCTACTCCGTAAACGCGCCGCCCACGAACGGCCCACAACCCGCCGCAGCACAAACCGATCAGGGGACGCCCACAACCTGCGCGAACGCCACGCGCACGGCCCCCGACCTCGACAGGTCGGACTTAGCCTCCCTCCGACATGCGGACCCCACACTGGAACGCCCCTCCACCGCCATGGTCGCCACGACGCTTAGAATCTCCGGCCGTGATGAAGACACACTGCCGATACGACATGGGCTGTTAGGTTCTGCTTCCGATACACTCACTTCGTCGGTGCTCGTGGTGCCTCGAAGCATGAGGGGGGTAATGTTGGCACACGCCCATGACGCACCTACCACGGAACAAACAGGTATAAACAACACACGTCAGGCACTACAACAGGTAGAAAGGATGGACCGGACGGAGACCGAAATACTAAGGTACGTATCCCCAAACCGGAGTGACGAGAACGTGAAACTCCCCCGGCTCCTGAGGACAAACCAATACAGGACCGACCCGCAGGACCACCTCCAAGTCAAAAACCAGGTATGGTATTACACCTTGGCACATTCCCCAGGACACGTGGGAACCGGCCCCACCAGACTACGCCGGAAACCGCGACCCCGCTGGTCAAGACCATACAGGGTGGGAAACAAACTCTCAACCGCAGTGCACCAAATCGAGGTCACAAAAGGTAGAGAGCCCACCCTCAGATGGGCCCGTTACAGCCAAACCAAACCACACAAACAAAGCCCCATGGGACAAGCAGGGCACACTTCAAACCCCAGTTAGGAACACACCACGTGACCTCAAACACGATTAGCCCAGCACTCACTAACACTCTTCTCGGCTGCACTAATCGACTCTCTCTTTCTCTGTCTCTGTCTAACCCCTAACAGTTGTTTCACGCCTTGCAGAAAGGTGGCCCACTTTCCTTCTCGTGCTGACCTGCATACTGGGCCTCGGCACCCCAGAAATTATTGAGACCGGACCAGCCTCCGGGATCGTTTTAAAAGAACAACCCGGGCTCCTCATCACGGACGTCCGACTCCACACACAGCGAATCTTTGTCAGACTCAATCCTAGTGAAGTCTGCCGCAAGAACCTGCCCTTGAAGGTCACACTCAAAGATTGGGCAGGTGCACGCTGGACCCAGACGGTCGTGGAGCACGCTGAGGCAGACATACAACACATGCTGACGCAACTAGAGAAGTTCACGATCACTAGGACAGAGCTCAGCGACCCTCGCCCCAGACCCAAACGATTTATTGGGGCTCTCCTCGGCGCGGCGTCTGCCCTGGGCACCCTCTTTAGCTTAGGGATGTCCACGGTAAACGCCATCAGCCTATCCTCCCTCAGACGCCACCAACAGGAAATGGCCTCTGAGCTCGAGGATGTCAAAACCAGACTTGACCAACAACAGAACGACGTGGTGACCTTGGGAAAATCCCTGAAAGGAACCATGCTAGTACTTAACACGCACGAGGTTGCGATTAAACGTACCTCCGCTGCGGTCAACCAACTCTTAGACGTCCTCCAACTAGACTACGCCCATACTCTGCTGACCACACAGCTGATGGAGGACATGTTACGTCACCTCAGCTCCTCCATCAAAAACCTAGCCATGGGCCGTATCCCGCCATACCTCGTGCCGCTATCGCTAGTTGAGGACATCCTAGCCGTAGCCACACGGGACGCTGTAACACCCATGCAAGCCCACTTAGCGTACACGCTGGGCGCTGCAGTCCCCATCTATGTTAATCCTCTAGACCGCGAGGTAGCCTTCCTAGTCACCTTACCGATAGTTCCCGGCGACAAAATCTACCGACTGAAAGGGATCACTAACCTAGGGACCTGGAGGGACAATGCCCACGTCAGAGTCCACACGCCAGACATAGTAGCCTACCACGACAGCAACCCCAATTTGTACCTAACGCCAAATCTAAGGATGTGCACTCTCACTAAGGACATCCATTACCTCTGCCCCAGCAAACCTTTCGTCAGGGACAGTACAGATGGCATCTGCGGCCTGAGGCCCATGACTCCAGGGAGTCGATGCCCCGCGACGGTCACCTCTCGGAAGCAAATAACCGAAACCAGAGCAGAGATTGTAGGGGCACAATGGCTAGTGAACACTCCCCTTAGAACGGCGACCCTGACCTATGACAAACATGACACCTCGTCCCGAGTAAGTCTCCCGGACGAAACCTTCTGGGTCAACGTCCCAACCGACGCTATCCTGCACATAGGCGACCTGGCACTATACCACCTGTACCCAAACCAGTACGAGGCAGAGATCGAGGTACCAGAGTTCTTCGAGAAAAGGGCTCTGGAACTCCAACCCTCCACCCTAGTCCAAGCCACCTACGAGGGGGCACAAACCGTGGACGTTGCGGTCGTAGACAACCTCCTTCAAGAGATTGCCAAGCGACCGACCATCCACCACCAACCAGTGGCCTACTCCTGGTCTGCCCCCGATACAGTCGTGGCCATCGCGGTAGGAATCGGGTACGGCCTGGCCATAGCCACGGTCTTCGTCCTAAATAGACGGGTTAGGCGACTCCGCGATAGCTTTAACAGATGCGCGGAGGCAATGACGAGACAGATCCGTAAACGACCAAACCGGGGCGACAGCGCCGTCGAGCGTGGCAATTTAAGTCGGCGTCCCCAGGTCAACGAGTCAGAGTACGAGGACCTCCAAAGTCACCCACTCGAGACGGTCACTCTTTCTATCACGGAAGGTGAACCAAGGGCCTAAAACCCCACTAAGAGTCACCAGCTCAGACCCAACCAAACTACCTCGATACCTAATCAGTCTCTTAGACAATCATACCTGTCATCCCCGTTTATATACAGGAAATGTCCCTCGTAATTAAAGCCCCACTTGCTACGTCATATATTCGTGTAACCCTTACACTCCCCTTTTAGAACGAGCAAGATGGGAACCCCTCACCATCGAGTGCCTTAATGGCGCTCCTACCCGCTGCCAAGGCAGCCACCCTTTTTTTGGATTTTTAAAGTTTCCTATTTTTGTATCCTAGTCCCCTAGAGTAGAAACTCCTGCCACTCTCTTGGTTTGGAACTTTGAGTCTTCCAGACCAAGAGACCCAGGAGTCAGGCACACCGGCCCAAACCTTAGAGTTCACGGCCGGAGCTCACTCCCCAAACCCCTGATCCCGGTTAGAACTAGCCTGCAGGGCCAGGACTCGCCTTAGAGAAAACCCGGCCTCGACAAACCAAGCCAGAGGCCCGAGACCCAACCGCTACGAGCCTGGCCCCAGTTAGGCGCTTGCTAGCTACTGAGTCACATTGAGACGGGAATGTTGTAACATGTCACCGAAATTGTACACTAACACCCGAACAGGCGAGACGACCGACTGAGGACAACCCCACAGCATATCCGACATGACATGCACCTTGTCGGAAGGTGCATCTCTGCCGTGGGGGGGGGTATGTAAGGTTAAACTGAGGACAGGGCCGAGCCGTCCGCTCTGTTTACCATTGACCAAATGGAGAGATACAACTTCAAAGGAACCATGGGGTTCAACCACAGGAGCAGATATCCATCAGGAGGATTCAAACGCCAGACGGACCCATAAAACAGCGGGATACCCATCTGGGGCCTTTTTCATGTCAACAGAGAATCTGATACGAATCAGCATTGTCACAATGCATTCCACGGACCAAGGGGTCCACCCGCGGCCCTCTGGCGCCCCCCAGTGGGTACTGGACGCCATCACACCCAAGGCGGACACTCAAAGGACATTATTCGGTGATATTATGATTGATAACCGTTACAGACCTCACATGTGTGTATCGATGTCAAAGTAATGAAATACGGTGTGTGTTTGTACATGTGTTATGATCATTTGCATCAATCCGATGTGTTTCCTTTGCAAAATGTCTGTTGTGAAGGGGTCTGTCCACAGAGAGGGGAGGCATGGACACGCCTCCCCTGGGGAAGTCAATATAAGCACCCACAAGCCATTGTACTTTCTCTTGTTTCCCCCGAATTCATCATAACAACTATCCCGTTTGGTACGTGTCCCCTACACGGCCTACGCCCGCCACCATCTCGGGCCTGTACATCCACGAGGACAGCAACCACTCTCGCTGTCGGAGACGAGGACCTTCTATCGCCACTTTCGGGCTCCTTGGACCACCCCACCACAACGCTATTCTAGACCGTGTCGTGTGTGGAACCCACGCCTGGACCCGACCTGTCGGCTTCCTCCTGCTCCCTGTTCGAACAAAGACCACGTGGACGAGACATCGCCTCCATCCTATTCTTCACTCTCATCCCCCCATCTCCATCTCCTTCCTCCTCTTTCCATCAAACACATCCTCTACGCTCCTCCAAAGTAAGACTGTTCCTTGTTAAATGTGCAATTTGAATGAAATGTGTACGACTCCTACCTAAATGTGACCAGAAATCCCTTTTCGTTATATTTTTACCTTCATTTTGTAATCAATAAACCTCTTTTCTTTAACTCAATCCTATCAGAGTCGTGTTGTTAGATCTCGGACTATCCCTGGCAGATAAAACGTATTCTCTACCTTTAGATTATAAGGTTGATATCGAGGCAAAGATTTGGTTTGGTCTGTGCAGTGTGTCCCACACATTGCTGGTGCCAAAATAAATATAAAGCAGACCCACACTACCAAATTTATACTAATAAGTAATTATAATCAGCAATATAAGTAATACCCTACATACTTCTCAAACATACTTCTCTCAAACATACTTCTCTCTAACATACTTCTCTCTAACATACTTCTCTCAAACATACTTTTCTCAAACATACTTCTCTCTAACATACTTCTCTCTAACATACTTCTCTCAAACATACTTCTCTCAAACATACTTCTCTTAAACATACTTCTCTCAAACATACTTCTCTCAAACATACTTCTCTAACATACTTCTCTCAAACATACTTCTCAAACATACTTCTCAAACATACTTCTCTCTAACATACTTCTCTCAAACATACTTCTCTCAAACATACTTCTCTCTAACATACTTCTCTCTAACATACTTCTCTCTAACATACTTCTCTCAAACATACTTCTCAAACATACTTCTCAAACATACTTCTCTCTAACATACTTCTCTCAAACATACTTCTCTCAAACATACTTCTCTCTAACATACTTCTCTCTAACATACTTCTCTCTAACATACTTCTCTCTAACATACTTCTCTCTAACATACTTCTCTCAAACATACTTCTCTCAAACATACTTCACCACACTGCGCCACACCGCCCCGCACCAAGCCGCCCTGCACGACATCATCCCGCACTACGCCGCCCCACACCAAGCCACACCGTACCACGTAGCACCGCGCAAAGGAGATGGCGCCGCCGTGTGATGATTTGTTCCCGTAGCCATCGAAGAATGTTAGTCAAATTGTAATGAATATGATCAGTTGAGCTGGTTTGGCTCCCCATGTCAAACTTTTCCTCAGTCTCTAGGGGGCGCTAATGGGCCAATTTAAAATATTTCACTTTCACCTGACCTAAACCCTAGAGTTGAACAATGGATTCAAGTTTTGTGCAAATCAGACTTTGTTTGTGCAAACGGGAGCAAATTTTATGTTGTCAAAAAATGACCAAAAAAAGGTCACATTTAGCCGCTCCGCTGCTCAAACAACGTTTCACTGATCAAAAATCCCTGAGATCATTTTGATGGTACATGAATTGAGATGATGTGGAGCGATTTTGAGGCGAATCGGTGAAACGGCCGAGGAGGAGAAGATTTCCAACCGACATATGTGAAAAGGATAATTTTTCATTTTTCCATTTTGAAGTGTAATTTATGGGCTTCCTGTTTGTCAAGGGGCTTGGTCATAATAACTTTTATTTAATGTCTTGAGATGAGGAACATGTGTACCAAATGTCATGGCTATACAACAAACTTGACCTCGAAGCCCTCCCATACTAAAAACTTTGACCCCATCTTTAGGGGGCGCTAATAAGCCAAGTTCCTTTATTTCACTTTCAAACGACCTAGACCCTAGAGTTGAACAATGTATTAAAGTTTTGTGCAGATCAGACTTTGTTTGTGCAAACAAGAGCAAATTTTATACTGTCAAAAACAGCCAAAAAAACTCACATTTTGCCGCTCCGCTGCTCAAACAATGTTTCACTGATCAAAAATCCCTGAGGTCATTTTGAAGGTACATGTGTTGAGATGATGTGGAGCGATTTTGAGGCAAATCGGTGAAACGGCCGAGGAGGAGTCGCTTTCCAACCGACATGTATTGCTGTTCATTTCTCATTTTGCAGTGAAATTTATGGGCTTCCTGTTTGTCAGAGGGCGGGGCCATAATAACATATTTTTCTTGTCTTGACTTGAGGAACATGTGTAAGGCAAGGCAAGTTTATTTGTATAGCACAATTCATACACAAGGCAACTCAAAAGTGCTGAACAAAAATAAGAAAGCATTAAAATCATAAATAATCACAGTACATTAAAAAGAAAGATAAAAATATAAAATCCCTCAGTTGTAGCACAGCTAAACAGAACTGTCTTTAACCTGGTTTTAAACATTGTCAGAGAGGAGGCCTGTCTCACATCTTCAGGAAGACTGTTCCAGATTTTAGCAGCATGAATCTGAAAAGCAGCCTCCCCATGTTTAGTTCTGACTCTGGGCACTAACAGGAGTCCAGTCCCTGTGCTCCTCAGAGTCCCAGCAGGAGTCCAGTCCCTGTGCTCCTCAGAGTCCCAGCAGGAGTCCAGTCCCTGTGCTCCTCAGAGTCCCAGCACGAGTCCAGTCCCTGTGCTCCTCAGAGTCCCAGCACGAGTCCAGTCCCTGTGCTCCTCAGAGTCCCAGCAGGAGTCCAGTCCCTGTGCTCCTCAGAGTCCCAGCAGGAGTCCAGTCCCTGTGCTCCTCAGAGTCCCAGCAGGAGTCCAGTCCCTGTGCTCCTCAGAGTCCCAGCAGGAGTCCAGTCCCTGTGCTCCTCAGAGTCCCAGCAGGAGTCCAGTCCCTGTGCTCCTCAGAGTCCCAGCAGGAGGCCAGTCCCTGTGCTCCTCAGAGTCCCAGCAGGAGTCCAGTCCCTGTGCTCCTCAGAGTCCGGGCTGGTTCATATGGGACTAACATGTCACTAATATATTTTGATGCGAGGCCATGGAGAGACTTGTAACAAGCAGAGCTGTTTTAAAGTCTATTCTCTGAGCCACAGGAAGCCAGTGCAGAGACCTGAGGACTGGACTAATATGGTCGTATTTCCTGGTTCTAGTCAGGACTAATATGGTCGTATTTCCTGGTTCTAGTCAGGACTAATGTGGTCGTACTTCCTGGTTCTAGTCAGGACTAATGTGGTCGTACTTCCTGGTTCTAGTCAGGACTAATGTGGTCGTACTTCCTGGTTCTAGTCAGGACTAATATGGTCGTACTTCCTGGTTCTAGTCAGGACTAATGTGGTCGTACTTCCTGGTTCTAGTCAGGACTAATATGGTCGTACTTCCTGGTTCTAGTCAGGACTAATGTGGTCGTACTTCCTGGTTCTAGTCAGGACTGGAGCTGCTGCATTTTGAATGTACTGCAGCTGTTTTACAGCCTGTTTGGACAGACCTGTGAGCAGGCCATTGCAGTAGTCTAACCTACTGGAGACAAATGCAAATGTATACCGAATTTGTATCGAATTTCATGGCTCTATGACAAACTTGACCTCCAAAAACTCCCATAGGGGTAGTTTTTTGGCTGTCTTAGATGGCGCTGTACTGGCATTTTTTGAGTCCCATAAAAATAAACACCAAAATAATCAAGTTTTTGCCAGGTCTGATTTTTGGGCAAAATTTAACAACTTTTCATGCATGTTCAGGGGTCAAATTAAGGCAAACGGCGCTGAAGAAAAAAGAAAGAAATAAGTAAGGATTTTATTTTTGACTTCTCGAGCAAAAACAAGTTGAGTTTACGCACACAACCGTCACGTCGGGGTGAGTGACGGGCGCTGACGCGTC